CCCCAAAACCCCAAAACCCCAAAACCCCAAAACCCCTTCGCTCTAGCATATTATTATTTTTAAACCAAGCAAAATGATAAGTTCTGCCTCTAAATCTATCCCTTCTAAGATTAAGCTAAGCTATTTCCCATTCCATGGAAGGGTAGAGCCTATCAGAATGCTACTCTTGCATAAAGGAGTTGAGTTTGAGTATGTCTTAAAGGTCTTAGAACCCCATTTTGGCCTCCTTAGGCTATTCTAACCCCATTCTAGCACTATTCATACTTTTATAGGGATGACCACGTTGACCTAATGGGATGGATCGGTAAGAAACCCTATTATTTTTAGGAGGAAGCGAATTAAAACAAGAAGCAGAGTACGGACAGCTGCCTATACTTGAGTACGGCGAAAAGAAATATGTCCAATCAGTTGCGATTATGAGGTTCCTGGCAAGACAGTTTGGATACTATCCTCTTGATGACTTTGAAAAACAATATGAGGTCGATAATGTGATGGACTCTTTCAGTGACTATAACTTTGGATTAATCAAAGCTTATACTGCTACTGAAGTCAAAGCTAAGAATGAAGGTCTAAAGAGCTTTTTCAGCACTCATAGTATGACCTTCTTCAAATCTTGGGATACAAGGATCAAAGAGAATGGTACGTATAAGTTTTTCATATCTTTCAAAAACTAATAAGATTTTAGGTACTGGATACGCAGTTGGTAAGAAATTTAACTCATTTTGGTATATCTAATTATTCATATAGGGGATAGCTGGACTGCAGCTGATTTTTCGATCCTGGCTATTACTCATACCATGTACACTCATAGTCATTGGAATCATATGTACGATAATCTGCTAGACTCGTACACAACTCTCAAGGTATCTTCATAGCCTCATCTATAGGATTACACTGAGACCAGAATAGCTGATTTTGGAGACAAACTCAGTTCGAGACCAGAGATCCCTGTCAACTTTATCTTCCAGAAGAAGGTAGAGTACTTCCCAGAGGAAGACAAACAGGAATAGGATATATAGATTCCTCATTAGACCTATCGTTCAATCGTCAAAATAGATTAGGGGTTTTGGGGTTTTGGGGTTTTGGGGTTTTGGGGTTTTGGGG